CATTTTCTCACACTTGCACACACAGCTGCTGAACAGCTGTCTGATCCAGGACGAGAAGAAAGAAAGAAAGAAAGGCAATAATCTGGTCGCCTACGTCTCTGATATGCATCTCTGACACACACACAAACTTTCTGGCTCTGTTAACCCCCCACCCCCATCCCACCCCACACACACACAAAACTTGGAGAATTAAGCTATTATTCACTGATAAAACAACCACAGAACATTTTGTTCTCTCATTTTTAGGTTTCTACAGACAAATTCAGATAAAAGACTACCTAATGCTTGCTGACAACATAGACTATGGATGTCTGATTGGGACAAACTACAAAACGCAGCCTCCAGTGTGAAGCTAGCATTAGCAGTCCAGTAGGACACTCCGGTTACTCCTAATGTGACACAAAATACTAACATTACACAAAGCCTGAATTATTCTGAGAGTGGTAACTTCCTAACTCTCTGCCAGAAATCATATAAGCATATTTCCTTTAAATGCCTTCATGTTTCCTAATGTGTCTTGCAGGGTGGTTAGATTTTCAATAGTGCTTTGTCACAACTAAATGTAACAGTTAAGGGCCCAAAATGAGGAACAATACGAGTACATTCTGTCTGTGTGAGAGAAGAGGAAGACTGGACAATGAGAATCATTGTGAGACAAGAAGAAGAGGCTGTTTGGAAGTCTCTGAGGCCCTCTGAGTCACGTACTGTACAGTGTTACACAAAGTAAAACACACAGCAGGAACACACTTCTGGATATGCTACCTCTAAATGACTGTAGTCTGGAGTTCAGTAATTCTTTTTCAGCTGTTTTAAACAAGCTTAAATTAGAAGAGTTATAATGATTTTTTCAACTTTAATACAAACACATGTTGGAAAGTAAGGAAATACAAGATGTCTGTGTTGTGATTAAGTTGTTATATAGTTTTTGAGTACAAGCTACAATCAGTAATTCTGCAATCACTTACAGTAGATGTTTAATCAAGTAGTTTACTCAACTACACTTAGAAATGCATGTATTATGTCAAGTATCTTGCAGTTAAAGTAACAGTCTGATGCTGTGTTGTCATGTAACAAGACTCAGATCACAGTTAATCTGATGTCAGGCTCGTGTCTGAATAAAGCAATCCCACAAAAGACTGAAACATTTATATTTTGAAATACAAACTGCTGGAACAAAATGAAGTCATGCTAGCAGCACTGTGACACTTTGCGTGGCAAATTTTTAAAAATAATTATTTACCAGGATTTCCGTTACATGTTCTTATTAGTTTCATCAACAACATAACTGACAACATCTGCATGATTATATGTGCAAGACCTAAAATCTATATTACTGCATCACAACTTTCATATGATACTTTCAAAGTAAAGTCAAACTAGTAATTATAGCAGTCATATAAAATGTATGGGTGGGTGTATTGGGTGGAGGTTGTCAGACAGGTGTCTTCAGCCCTCATGCCTTTCTAACATGGAGGCGGTATACAAGTGGTCTCATGTGAAACTCCACCCCCCTTTGCCTCAGAGCTGCAGGGGGTTTGTACACTCCAGATATGTGTCAGTTCAACTGGGGGGGAGAAGATCCAAGCTGCTCAGCCTCAGGCCAGGTGGATGCAGCACCACCTGCCTCAAAATCCTGCCTGTCAGAACAAAGAGCATTTGATTTCAAATTCCTCTCTGTCATCTGCAGAGATGAATTTAAAATTGAGGAGTAAAACCAGTAACTGACTGGTGTATATATGCCTCTAAGTTTGCTTTGAACCTTTTCTGAAGCAGCCTTTCCCATAATGAAATGATACCTGGTTGTGTGGACAGCATTGCTGAAAAGGGGTGCGATCACTTGGTAGTGAAGTACAAACTTCAGGTGCTTGCGTTTTCCTCACATACTTCCATTTTATCCCACTTTGCACTTTCAGAAATGAGAACTAAGAACCATCAACTGTGTACATGGAGTTTAGCTCAGCAGGTGTTTCTTCAGTAAGGACTACTCTGTGTTTTTCACATCAACCGGCTACAGATTATTTGACAGGACCCTTACCATATATGTTCATGCACTGAGTGCCCTGTATCCCCCAGGCCCCCAGCTGCCTCTCCCGCACAGCTGTCATGAAAAGCTGACTGCACCTGTTACAGTCTGGTTTCGCAGAACATGTCCCTGCAATGATCTGTGTGAACTAAAGTACGTTAGTGCAGGAAGCAACCTAATTCAACAATATTACTGAAACATATTTTTTTTATCTTTTTATTCACATACAGTACCTTCAGTTCTGGACAGAACACAATCAAGAATATCAAAAGGAAATGGCTGAAGGATGAATGCCCTCGCTAACCCAATGAGCACAGAGAAATGCACTGGAACATACATTACATATACCTCTGTTAAAAATCTGCCAGCATACATTAGATATGCAAACCTTATAGACTACAAAGTACAGCAGGGGGAACATATACTCTGTAACATGTGCATAATGTAACATATAAACACAGGGCCGAGCTATTTACAGTTTATCCAAAAAATGTAGTTGCTCTTAACCTTAAATTTTTTATACATATTAACATGTACAGTTTTATTCGTTAGTGGGCACAGTCAGGCTGTTTCTCAGAAATCCTTATAATCACACACACCACACCGGCTGATGTTTTTAAAGCACACTACTTCACCATAAATAAAACAGTTACAAAAATATACCTCACTTCAAAATGAGCCATAGCAGAACAAGCAATCACAGCCATCGTGGAATGATGAAAACAACACATATTGACCTGGAGGAAGGAAATGGAGGGAAAGATGATAGGGGTGGGAGGAGGCGGGAGCTGATTTCCAGGACAGCGTGTGAAAGAGTTTAAAGAACAAGCTGGAATTCCAGTGAAAGACAGCAGGTTAATGGGAACGCTGGAGCTTGTGGCAGGCTATGGATGGTGGCTGGGATCAGCTGGGACACTGATGGAAATGCGGGTGGGGCGGAGGGGCTTGATTTCCTGGCATGGGTTCCCTTTGAAGGGACCCCCCTCCTCCTCACTGTAGCAGCCAACATAGAAAGATGTGTTGAGCTTAGTAAGTATCAGCAATACAGGGGGTTAAAAACTCCAAGTCCATGTTGGATTAGTAGTGTGTTTACATTCACAGGTACATCCCATCGTACTAAGGCTCAGGAGGGTGCAATGTGTGTCAGTGTATGTGTGTGCACTGCTGCTGCTGCTCCTCCTGCATAGTAGAAGACTAGAAGCAAAGCTATTTTTTCTTTGAGTTGACACTCTTGCAGACCCAATTCATGCCCTCCTGCAACAGAGAAAAAGCAGCAAGGTGAGAACAAGAGAATACAGGCACAAAGAAAAGGGTGCGTAAAAGCAAAAACTCAACTCACCTGAATCCCCTCGCCGGTGAGGGCGGAGCAGGACTGGATCTGCCACATGCGATCCCGAATAGTGTGAAGATTGAGACCCTCAGCGATCTCAGAGGCCGGGGCAGCTGTCAGCAGGTCTTGTTTGTTTGCAAAGATCAGCACAGGAACGCCGCTCAACTTCTCTTCATCCAACAACTCAGCCAGCTCCTGCAACACACAAATGCACCCGCCGGATGCACACACAAATACTCTCACAGATAAAGAAGAGACTCCAGTGGTTCATGTCAAGAAAAAAAAAAAAAACTACTCAAATGTCATCCACCATATTTAATCATCAGCAGACACAGACCTTAGTCTGGCACTTGACATCCAGTTTGCTTATGAAGACTTGAGATGAGACATTCTCCAAAAGACAGGGCAAAACAGCTCTGATATACACAAGTAAAACAGTATATTAAGGCTTAAATTATAAGTTGATTGACAGAAAATGAATCTGTAAGAAATGTGATAATCAATTAATTGATTCAGTCATTTCTTTAAGAAAAAAGCCATTTTATTATTTTCTTGGTCTGTATTGATAGTAAATTGTGGCATTTTTGGACTGGTGGTCAGACAACACAAGTAATTTAGAAGCATCCCTTTTGCTCTGGGTAAATGTGATGGACATTTTTCACTATTTTCTGACAGCAGATTAAAAGCCCCACAGTACTATGTATACTGTAGTACACAACAGTGCACACAGAGACAAAACAGCACATATTGTACATACCTGTCCTGTTTCTTCAAACCTCTTTCTGTCAGCACTGTCAATGACATAAATCTGAAATATAAAAGAAAGTTTTCATGGTTACCGTGTACAGCAGGTCATTTGTAGACTAGAATTAATTGATTAGTTAATTTAAAGAAAACTGCCAAATATTTTCAGTTATTTTTCAAGGAATATGACAATCATTTGCTAGTCCTAAGTTATCAAATGTGAGGACTTATGGCTTTTCTTTGTCAAAATATCACTGGGTTTATAACTTGTCTGAACTAAAAAAAGATTTTACTTTTACTAGCAAATTCTGATGGAGAATTTCCTGTTTATTTTTTAAACATTTTATAGTCTAAATTATTGAAGATAATTAGCAAATTAATATTGAAAATAATTGTTTCTTGCTGCCCTAGTCCTTAGTAGACATGTATTAAGCACTGACTTCAGTACAGATGAACAGTTCAAAACAGTAATGTAAACTTTTAATAAAGCTTATTTGCTGTATTTGGTGCCTCGGTTTTCACTCACCAGCACATCAGTGTTTTCAAAGTAGTTCCTCCAGTACGGCCTGATCTTCCTCTGGCCTCCAATGTCCCAAACGTTCAGTTTAAAACCCTGAGACTGGACGCTCTTAATGTTGAACCCCTGGAAAGAACACAAAAGTGGATTAGACAGGATGACAATAAGCCCAAACAGACAGAAAGCGTCATAAAGAATCATGCAACAGATGGTGTGGCCCCCACAGAGCAATGATCTCAACATCATAGAGTCAGTCTGGGATTACACGAAGAAACAGACACATAAAGACACTCAGACACCTAAATCCACACAAGCTGTGCAAGTTCCCCAAGATGTTCAGGGCACTCTACCTGGCAAGCATAAGGCTACCTGGGAGAATTGGTGTCTTAAAGGCAAACAGTGGTCACTGATTTGATTTGTTATTCTGTTTATTGCACTTTACATGAAGTTAACAAATAAATAACAATTGTTAATGGGAATATTTTGAAAGCATCCTCACTTTACTTGTGGTGCCTAAAGATTTTGCACAGTACTGTAAAAATGAGCCTTTCCGCCATACCTGTGTGGGGGTGATGTGGCTGATGTCCTCAGATGCCAGCTGTTTGAGCAAGGTGGTCTTCCCTCCGTTGTCCAGACCCAGAAGTAGTATCCTAACCTCCTGGTCTGGTGTACTCTTTAGCTTACGCAGGATAGACAGCAATCCCTACAGCAAGCAGTAAAAAAAAAAAACAGCCATGTGATGTTACTTTGTCTGGGGACAGGGGGAGCACTGTTGCAGCTAACCACCATTGCAGAAATCTTCCTTCCATCCACCGGGATCCTGACTTAGGGCCTGTGAGAGTGCATTTCGGTGCACCCAGTGGCTTCTGATGATGAGCAAGCGCTTTCTTAACGGTACCAATCAATACATGGGGGCAACGACAGGTCTGTAAGTAGCTAGTCACATCGTATTTTCTTGAACCTTCCGGCATAGTTGTTTCAATGCAGAGCACGCAAACGGGAGCTAACCATAGCTAACAAGCTAAGCTAATCTCCCCTGATAACTGAACGAATCAACAAGGCAGCTTTTGCAGATGAATGTTTTTCTCGGCAAGTTGCCCGAGATTAATTGATATTCAATTTGAGAAAAATACAAGCGTGCGAAACTTAATTCAAATATATTCACATTTGAGTTTGGTGTTTATAGTTAACGGCGAATTATTAAGATAAATTAAACTCACCATCTTGTTGCCTTCTCTCCTAGAGACGCCGCCGAGGGTTACTAAGGCGGGTGACGTCAGACGTACAGTTACGCACCCGAGCTCATGATGCGGTCAGGCACTATTATCAGAATAGGAGAAAGAACTTTACCAAGTCTGTTACCAAGTGGGAGAGGAACAGCGGAGCGGTGGTTAGCGCTGTCGCCTCATAACAAGAGTTCAGGGTTCGAGCCGGGGGCCTTTCTGTGCGGAGTTAGCATGTACTCTCCGGGTACCCCACAGTCCAAAGACATGTAGCTTAGGTTGACTGGTGACTCTAAATTGCCCGTAGGAGTGAGCGTGTGTGTGTGTGTGTGTATGTGTGTGTGTGTCTACAAACTGACGGCCTGTCCAGGGTGTACATCGCCTCTCGCCCAGTGCCAGCTGGGATTGGCTCCAGTTGGAAACTGCAACAAACACGTAACAATTTAGGATGCTTAGTGTGTACACACTGGCATAACGGGTATTCTTCCTATTTTGCGGACACTGTGTAAATGCACCACGACGCGAACGTTACTCTGCTACTCATAATTACAATTGCAAAAATAAGACTTGAACGCAGCATCACCCCCAAATATGGAGGACGAGCTTAGTTAGCTGCTGTCCGCTAAATGTTTAATATGGTCCAGGAAATAACTCCACATGTTTAATTTTGTGGACGGTTTTTGTTCATTAGACGTTATAAGGAATCACTGCACATACATTTGTTTCATTTACATACAATAAGTAGAACAAACCAATCATACTCTCCAAGAGGCAATTAGCTAGCAAATTAGCATAACAGCGCTAAACCCAAGTAGCCCCGTGCCGCTTTTAGGGAGTTACATCAGCCTGTGATTGGAGGACAGTTTGCCACGTGCACATTTCTTTACTATGCCACACGAGCAAATTTGTCTGACAGGTTGTATTGGACGGCAGTACAGGAATCTGACAAAGGTATGCTTTGTGTTTTTGTGGTTGTAGGTCGTAGCTTCTGTGTTAGTGCTTTGGTTCATCTTTGTTTTTTTGTTATGCCTGCAGAAGTCAGCCTGTAACTCTAGTAATGTTGCATCACTCTGTGCTCCCACTGACATGGCACTCATAACTTCACTGCAGTTGGTCGGTGGATGCAGCACAAGCTCTCACTCTGCAAACAAATTTCTCAGTTTGCGGAACTCCATATATAATTTAACACATTTTATGCTCGCACAAACTTAAAAATCAGTACCGTCCCCGTGTTAACCGATCAGCTTACCAGATGTATTCAGATGTGGGCTGTGCTCTTGCCTACAAATCGAGTTTGTCAAGTCTCTGTTCAACCTAAAGAAGCTTAACAGTGGTGGAATGTAATTCAGTACATTTACTCATGTACTGTATTTAAGTCCAGATATAATGTATTTTCTTTTCATGCCTCTGTGTATTTTGTACTCTACTACATTTGTTTGACAGCTGGAGTTACTAGTTGAATTACAAAACAAAATTTTTACATCCAAAACATATAAAGACCTAAAAATAGTTAAAAGGATTAAATTACCTAACAATATATATCATTAGAGCAATACTATTAGTTGATAGACAGAAAATCAGTGGTAAGTCTTTTGATGGAGGTTTGAGTCTTTCATGTGGAAATAAAGGAAATGAAATGGACTTAGGTTTTTAAATGTGGTGGTTTTCTGATTATAGTTGTTTTAATCATTGTCATTTATTTTAAATTTTGAAGTCTGGGTTGAGTGTAGGACAAAGTAAGTATAATTACGATGCCAAGTAGGGCTCAAAGTAGTTATTTTCATTGCCTATTATCTGTCATTTACTTACTTGATTACACATGTAATTGTTTTATCTAAAATGTCACAAATAGTACATTTACATTTTCAAATGACATTTTGTTTGTCTAGCAAACCCAAATCCCCAGATATTCTGTTTAAAGTTAGATAAACCAAAAACAAGCAGCATATCTCACATTTAAGAAGTTGGAACCTTTGATTTTTATTTATTTTTTTTGCATTTTTGCCTAAAAAAATGAATTTTCTAACATAGCCAAAGCAGAGTATTTATTTGTAATGGAGCATTTTTTGCTATGTGAATTAGCACTTAATGAATACTCCCTCACAAGTATCTGTTAGAACCTCTGGTTTGTGTCATACAGCGCACGATAGAAACATTTAGTTGATTAATTGATAAGTCCGAATGGCTATGGATTCATTTTAATGTCAGGCATTTCTAGTTATTATTGATTTGCACTGTCATAGAAGATAAAGTACAGCAAATACTCATATTTTAGGAGCTGGAACCAGTGAATTTTAGTTTTTGTGTTTGACCTATTTTCTCCACAGGGAACACGAGGAGCTTCATCCCATGCAGCCTGCCCATCTCAGTCTTTGTTATATGTCTAGGGATGCATTTACTTTAGTTTGAGCTTTACTGTTCTCCACAAAGTACCTACTTTCGAAATACAATCCAGTTCCAGCCAGACTGAGCCTTTAGAGAGCCCTGGTATACCCCTGTCCCAATGCGCTCTTTGTTTACAAAAGATTAAACCTCACAGGGCAGGTTTTTGTTGATGTGAGATTTGTTTTTACCCAATTCCTACATTAAATAATTGGTAATATAGTGATGAAGATGTACACAGGGATGGTTGAATAGCTGCATAATCTGTAGTCAGCAGGTTTTAGTTTCAATAGTTGGATAATAAGAAGAGAAATGCTGCAGCTGCAGAAACTCAAAATGATAACCTGTGGAACCATTTACCAGGAGGTGGTGAATGATTCTAGTGGAAGTTTGAACCTTGAGAATTTGTAGGTAGGAATAGAGTTTGTGTTTGTTCAGGTCAGTTTGAACTCAAGGCCACATGTGAGCAAACAGTAATTTCCAGGAGCTTGGAAGGCGGAAGGAGGCTGGAACCAGAAACCTGAAACTCTGTGTGGTACAGAACATATAGAACAACAGTATCACAAAGGCCATGTTTGCTGCAAACTCATGCCCACCAGGCAACACGGTGGCGCAGTGGTTAGCACCGTTGCCTCACAGCAAGAAGGCTCCGGGTTCGGGCCCCGCCTGTGTGGAGTTTGCATGTTCTCCCCGTGCTTGTGTGGGTTCTCTCCGGGTACTCCGGCTTTCTCCCCCCTTTACCCCAGTGACCCTGCTCCGGGGTTAAGCGGTAGAAGATGAATGAATGAATGAATCATGCCCACCAGGCCAGGGTGAAGTAAACAAAGCCCCTTGTCATTTCCAGAAGCTGCTTCTTCAAAATGCTTTTGAGTAACCAAATAGTCCAAAGTGTATGACTTTAAACAGAGATGCAACTGGCAAATGTTTGCAGATAATTATTTTCAATTAATCACCAGTAAACAGTTAACTGCCTATCACTATTCAATAAATGCTTCTAATACCCTTTGCTAGGTGGCAGGTGAGGCTAATTTACAGAATATATTTTAAAAACAAAGGATAGAAAAGCTGGAATAACAACAGAAGGGCTGTAGGCAGCAGAGTGTCATGGAATAGGTAGTACAGCTGAGAGACACCATGTCCTGCCCCATTTTCACTGGATTTATCAGGCAATGTGTAAAATCATAGTTAATGCACCTTTAAAAATGGGCAGTATTGATTATCAAAATATTTGCTGGTTAATTTCTGTTGCTTCACACACACACACGTTAGGCTAACCCTAACTCCTGGGAATGGGAGTTCAAAGAAAAAGTAAATCAGCTGAAAACCGTTTGACAGGAGGGTGACAACCATGAACCAGGCTGTGATAAACTGACGAGAGGTGTATAATTCATTCAGTGACTAGGTTCAGCTGGGACACAGTCTCTGACATTCTTTGTTTTTCACAGCTATATTTCTTGCTTTTCTGATTCCAGGTTCTGACTGCAGCTGCTGTGTAACCTCATGCAGAAGGAACAGAAGCCGTGCACAGACTTTTAACTTTTTATTGCATTAAGTTGGGACTGCTTTTTAACAACCACAATGGTGTTGAACTCATTAGACATTGATGCACCACGATGGGATCAGTCTACGTTTATGGGCCGACTGAAACACTTCTTCAATATCACAGACTGTCGCACAGTACTTCTATCTGACGCACGCTTGGATGAGGCCAAAGCTTTAGTAGAAACCTGCAGGTAAGAAAGTGTTTGCAAAAAAATAATAAATGCACATTGACAGATCTGTAACACGTGAGCTGTACCTGCCTCAGGTAGCCTAGGTCTTTACAGCATGACGAATATCTCAGGAAAGACTGGAATTTTGTCTTTAAACAGAGGCACTATGTTTAAATTTGTAATCCTTGCATATTTTATTTATGTTTGGTTTGGTGACACCTGTTTAATACACATGTTGAGCAGCTACTTTGTCGGGAATACAGCAGAGGAGTTACTGGTGTATCTGTTTACAATGCAGCCAAACAAACCCACGTTGTTTTTAATAAAGCAGTCAGTCAAGAATGCTAGAATTGGAAAGTCGGAGGAGGTATTTCTGGCTCCCTGGTTCATTTTTCTCAAAGGAAATGTTGGGTAAGTCAGTGTTCACTTCTGTGGCTTTAATTGGCATGAAACTCTCCCGCTTCAAACATCAGGTCAAATGATTAACAAATTCTTTAGAGAATATCTGTCTCTTTGATTGAAAACTCAACTTGTGTACATAAAATTCAGAGGAGCTGTTAACTACAACTCCCAAAGTGTATTTTGGTAAGAAACATCCAATCACAGAGATTAAAATGTTGTTACATGAACTGATGATGATGAGTGGGAGCTACAGCTTGTGTTGAGAAAACTGCAAACACAGTCTGCAGTTTAAACACGTCCACTTTAAATTTAGGTGCCAGTTTTGATATTTTCATTATTTACATGTAAAATGCTGTAGCTGTGGAGTCACGTTTTGTGACAACTGCAACATGAAAGAACTACTGTTTCAACAGGTGCCAATCTGATGCTGCTTTCTTTTCTGTGGTAACAGTAACTGAAGCTCATGGGTATTGTAGCTTTTGATTGTAGTTGATTTCATTAGGATCTTATCAGTTATAACTTGAAATGAGTTTTAATCAAGTGTAATATCTCTGACAGAAGTAATGCTATACTGTTAGTTGGTTGTCAGATTAGATTAAAGCCAACATTTAAAAAATGTTTTTAATAGTTAATTAATTGTATAGGATATTTATTGAGCATATCGTAATTTCTGGACTATTGAGCGCACCTGAATATAAGCCACACCCACTAAATAAAAAAAAAAATTGTACATATATAGGCCGCACTTGTCTATAAGCCACAGGTGTACACAGAAAGATTTTTTTTTTTTTTTTAAGAAGAAAAAAAATTTTGTACATATATAGGCCGCACTTGTCTATAAGCCGCAGGTGTCCACGTTGTAACATGAGATATTTACACAAAGATGTTACACAGCTTTTGTCGTCTTTTTGGATCTTCACGCTGCCTTCTCCAAAGTCTCACCATCCATTCATTGATGCCAAGCTTATGTGCAGCAGCTTCCTTCTTCAACAGATTGATGTCATAAAACTTGAAAGCTGCATCATATGCATTTCTTCATGCGTTTTCCATGATGAGGGTGTGTGCATGAAGCGCAAAATGACTGATCTGAAGAATTTAGTGTGAGTGCATTTAATTTAATTCGAACAGTTTCATTGGTCCACTGTGACCTGTTTGGTAATTTCATTGGTCTGATGTGACGAGGCTAAATGTATTGGCGGCATGAAGCTCGTTAGCCTGTAAAAATCCATAAATTAGCTGCATCATTGTTTAAGCCGCAGGGTTCAAAGCGTGTGAAAAAAGTAGCGGCTTATAGTCCGGAAATTACGGTAGTCACATTCTCTGGTTTAGCTTGTCACTCCTTTTGTCAAGATTTGCTCCTTTTAATTTTTTTACATGATGCTACATTCAGCATTTTGGCATTGTTGACTGTTGCTGGGACAAAGCCAGTACTAAAGGTCTCTAGGTGCCTTTACACTTTTCTGACCTGTTGTAGACTAAAGTGGTAGTTGGCAGCAGTATGTAAAGTCTGTTTTAGGGTGAATTTTCCTTTTGAATACTATTTTAAATGTGTACCTTGTGTCTTGAGGGTCAGCACTTTCATGACATTGTCACCATGAAACTCAAAAAACAGGTTGTGCACGAGCATTTCTGGAGGTTGTTGATGATATGAACATGTGCATCCTGTGTTAGTGAGTGTTTCTGCCACTCTACAGGGCAGGATCCATCCCTCCTGGCACCACAGAGGAGCAGCTCTATTATGCTAAGAAGCTGTACGATTCGGCCTTCCATCCAGACACAGGAGACCGCATGAACCTTATCGGCCGCATGTCCTTCCAAGTCCCTGGAGGCATGGCCATCACCGGCTTCATGCTGCAGTTCTACAGGTAGCGACAAGCTGCATTGTACCACATCCTGCAGTTTCACAGAGGAAGCTTCAGAGGTTTCATAACTGTCTGTCTGTAGGACAGTTCCTGCTGTGGTGTTCTGGCAGTGGGTGAATCAGTCCTTCAACGCTCTGGTCAACTACACAAACCGCAACGCTGCCTCCCCGATCACTCCAAAGTAAGCGCTAATAAGACTCTATTTACACTTGTCATTTTAAGGGTCTCGTATCCAGATTCAGTCCTAAATTAAATAAGCCCTCTGAATTTCAAATTAAAAGCCACCCTGTAGAATTTTCTTGTTTGCATTCAGCGTTATTCACCAGAACACACTGTGTGCACATTGAAATTAAACTGTCGTCCTGTTGTGTCTCTCAGGCAGATTGGAGTAGCCTACGTTACAGCAACTAGTACGGCATTAGCAACAGCTGTCGGACTCAACCTCTACACAAAGGTACAAACTCTGATGACTGGACCTAGATGTCATCAGGGATTCATTCTTCTTGTTCAGTTTATCACCAAACTCATCTGAAGGATGAGTACCCAAATGTTTCTTGTTTACAAAAATTTTATTGCACAGGGTACTGCTTAAATCAAATCAACTGCTATTGAGCATCAAAGTTGATTCTTTAGAAATAGTCTTTAAAAAAAAATCTTCCTGGCATTTTTTTTTCTGTGTTCTTTAGCAAATACAAATGGGTGACAAAGGAAAGTCCTGGGTAAACGAGTTGCCTTCCAGGATGACAGTGCCCCCATATATAGAGCATGAGGCGTTACTGATGGGTATGAGAATGATGCGAACCATATGCTATGACCTTCGCAGTCACCAGATCTCAACCCAACTGAACAACTATGGGAGATTTTGGAGTGATGTGTTAGACACTGTCTCCACCACCATGATCAAAACACCACATGAGGGAATGTCTTTTGTAAGAATGGCGGTCTTCCCTCCAATAGAGTTCAGAGACTTGTAGCATCAATGCTGAAGTGCACTGAAGCTGTTCTGGTGTCCCGTTGGTTTTCCCTATAATTTGTCACCTGTCTGTTATACTGTACCAGTAAGTCTAGATAATGTAGAGTGATTCCGGATCATAACCCATCTAAACACAGGACAGACCTCTTACAGTGATTCTGTGCATGTGACAGGTGCCACAGCCATGCATACTGAATTTTTTTTACCTCCACCTGTCCTGCAGAAGGCGCCTCCTCTCGTAGCTCGCTGGGTACCTTTTGCAGCAGTGGCAGCAGCCAACTGTGTTAACATTCCTATGATGAGGCAACAGTAAGTGCTGCTGTGTTATTCTCTGAAAAATGTAGAGGCGGGGATTACTGTATGTTATGTTATGTAGACGTTGGTGGTGAAGTGCCGTTCTCAAAGCAGACATCTTGAGCAGCCCCAGTCACAGCCTCGGATATTTCCTGTCTTAGAGATTAAGAGAAGGTGTATAGCCAGTGTTTCATGCTGTGTACATTGTTGTCAAAACTTTTTTTACGGCCATAATCATGCTTGTGAGTGCCAGTGTGTGCAGAGGCCAAATTTAAATATAACATCTTCAAAAGTTAAATGAAATGCAAATAAAGGCACCTCCTTTTGTTCACCCTGAAGCTCCAGTGCTTTTACAGTAAAGTCACAGTATCCACCAAGTAACAGGGCAGTGTGTTGCAGCAGAGGATGGGTGATAAGAAAGCCACAACATTTTGCACTTAATTTTTCTTTCCTTTTCTGGTCACTATCATTTTGTCAGGGAGCTTCTGAATGGCATCGCTGTCACAGATGAAAATGGCAACAGACTGGGCCACTCTAAGGTCAGCACTCTGAATGCACTTGTAATTTTTTTTAATGAACAATGGTTTTCCCTTTATATCTCACAAATTGCCATCAGAGCCTCTTTTATCTCCTCTGCAGAACGCAGCAGTGAAAGGCATCACACAGGTGGTCATCTCTCGGATCGCCATGGCTGCTCCAGGAATGAGTATGCAAAGAAGTTACAGAGAAAAGTTATATTTTATAAATATTATATTGACTTCGTCAAGTTAACTGCCTCTTTTATCTTCTCTCCTGTCTTCTTCCAGTTATCATGCCCATCATCATGCAGAGGCTGGAAAAATTCAAGTTCATGCAGGTAAGATCTGTACATTCACTACTGTCCTCCACAAGATGAAGTGTGCCGCTGTCATCCAGATGGGTTTCTGTCTTTTCACAGAGGATTGCATATCTCCACGCACCAATTCAAGTGATGATGGTGGGAATGTTGTAAGTAGAGAGGGTCATGGTGTCGCAGCAGTTTTATTGTCATCAAAATGTGTTGCTTGGTGGAACAACTAACTTTAGTTCTTTTTAGTTTGATCTTCATGGTGCCGGCTGCCTGCTCCCTCTTCCCCCAGAGATGGTAATGAAATGATTTGTGTATTTTCACCTGTTGACACATATAGGTTGCAGCTTGCATGCTCTTTGTGCATCGCTTAAACAGCCCTCACAGCTGTTTCTCAGTGATTACCCTAACTGTAGGACAACTTGCACACTCTGAAAACAAGAGCAGCTGCCTTGCCCACAGTGGGGTTACTCAGCAGTGGCCGTGTTCAAGCTAAAGCTATCAAACAAAAACCTGCATTTAGCTTAACTGTACTTAGGCTAAGTAACTCATCCAGCAGAAAACGAGCAACTTTTGTGTCATCCTGGAAACTTTTGTCCCTCATCAAGGATTTCCATCTGGGAAGGACCACCCCAATGTTTAACCTCATTTTGTCGCCGTCGACTGTGTATTTGTGTCCTTGCAATGATTCTTATTTTCTGCTGATTACACATTAATGAAAACATAGTACTATAGCCCATTTCTGCTAATAAACCCTTCTAAGTCCAGATAACTGACATAGATGGAACAATGGAAAATTACACTAAGCTAGATAAATTTGAAACCATCTTTTTTTTCCTGAGTTTGTCTCAGTCCACACAGAGGCCATGTTCAGTTAGGTCCCGGTGGATTACTCTTTAACAGAGTATTTGTTCTGCTTGTCTCACCATCATCGTGACAAAAGAGAAAATGATTGCAGTCATGAAAACAGCCAGGCCATAGTTTATCATCTCTCTAGTGTTTAAAGTAACACATTCAAACCAACACAGCATTTTGCATTTTTTTAAAACATAGAGGTGCTTTCCATCTCAACACACTCATTTTGAAACACTGGCTGTGTTTTTGTTTTTGGCTTTGTGGCATCAAACAAAACTTTCCTCTAACCTTTTTGCTGATCACCAGTTGTAGATGTCAGATAAACCTGATCACACACTCCAAGTGTTGTCATCAAGCTGTATTTATGCTGATTTTGTTGGACAGTATCACATTTGACGTCTATGTGCGGCAGAAAATGGTGCAGATGTTTGTTTCCTGGTTAACAGTGATCAAAGCACCGTCCTGTACATCACTGTTGTCTGACAGCAAACGTTAACATAATGTCAGTGAGAAAAACTAAATTAAGGCCAGGCGTATTAAAACACAGTTCGGTGTAGGTGTTCGCAGAGAGTGGGTAACAGCTGGCCAGATATTCACTGTGTCCAGTTTTGTTGGTTTCCAGCTGAAAGAGGATGAAGAAGACAAGATGTAGCTGATTTCGACATGTTCATGAGCTTAGGTTCTGATGGAAACCTTTCTGAAAATGACCTGATGTGTGTTATTTTGAGATGGAAAAAGCATTTCTGAGTTGGTGTGGAGTGAGATGTTGGGGAAGATGAAGCTCAGATTATTGCCTGGTTGATTGAGTGGATTACTATAGCTTGTAATAGTAAGACAAAATGATGTGGAAGATGTTCCTCTGAAATCTAGCTGCTGTTTATAAAAGTACATCTTTGGGGTTGTGGTTGGTAAAAATGTTTTTATAGGGTGTTGAAGAGAAAGTACTTGGCCATACTGTGTTGCTACTTGAACAGCATGTTCTCTCCAACTGGTATGCTCATTATCAATGATCACCACAGTTTAATCTGAAGCTTTCTGCATAAACAAAGAAGTCAGTGTCAACTTGCTCAGTCACACTGTGTTGTTGTTGTTTGTGTCCTGTGTCCACCCCGTCTTTCTCTCGCAGCTCAATGTCTGTGTGGAAGCTGGAGCCCGAGCTGAGAGACTCCATCGTGTCTGAGTATGGAGACGGCATAGAACGAGTGTACTTCAACAAAGGCCTTTGAAGCTGGTGGCGGAGTAGCGTTATCTGTTTGACACACAAGACAGAATGCATATGTGTTTATGTAATTTTTCTTCTATTTGTAACTTAGTATCGAACGTGGGAACTCACTGTGGGATATTGGAACAGTCGTCACTTTATCTGCTTGTTTTTCTTTGGGGTCAAATTATTTGATATTTTCTTACTTGAACCATGACAGAAACAAGGGACACTGTGTACTCCTGTTGAGAAACCAAATGATCTCATCTCAGGAACAGCACATTACTTTGCCAGATTAAATGCTTGTTACTTTCTCCTTCACGGTGCAGCTCGTCTGTAGCTGTTTTCTCTGGCTGTTCTCTTTAACAGCATCATGTTCCTCCTGTCCGCCAGAGCTCTTTTTAAAAATCTGTGCCTTTTACAAAGTGGCAACGCTGCTGGATGTTCTCTTTTTAACCAGTACTGTAAGCCTGAAACGGTCATTCAGTGTGATGTCAGATAAACTTTAAGATATGGAAGTTATGTGATAACGGTGGAGGATACTGCCCTCTTCTGCCATGACTGAGGTACAGTAGTTGTATGACTTGTTTGCATGATTTATCTGAGAGGTTTGCCAGTTGGACCTTTTCAATGTTTAAACTGTCTTATAAACTGGATTAAAACCAAACGTATTTAAAATACAGTAACATGTGATGGAGCTTCTATTTCTGTTTGATAAAGTTGTGCTGTATTGTTTGGGCAGCAGTTCTCAGGGTGAACAGCTTGTCAGGTTTTAGGTTGTGAAACTTAAATGAACTTTGCGGAGTCTTACTCTCAGCAGCTCTAAGACACCAAGGAAGGTCAGTATTAAATGTCAGGGGTAGCAGTCTGTCCATTTGGGAAGCACAAGTGACTGTGAATCACTTTCACCTGTGTTGGTTTAATCCACGCTGCTGCTGCTTTTACTGAGCACTTCCATCACTGAAGGGGACGCAGCAGTCTCGGGGACCTTTTGGTCCTCAGACAGGGCAGCATTATAAAATCGCCTTGAACCTCCAAACGAAAACAGTCTTGAGAAGACAGCCAACTGTTATAACAGTCCTGGAGATCACTGCGCACACAGTGCATCCTCACCCTTAAACCGGAGCTGAGTGACCAGTAGGGATGGGCAGATGAAGCTTCATGAAGCAATGAAGCCTTTCATCCAATTGTTTCATTCCAGCGCAAAGCTTCTTGAAGCTTCATTTGCTCTAGTAGGACATCTACTGGATAAAACTGTCAGCAGAATAAAACTGTCAGCAGAATAAAGTATGTATGTAAGTATATTGTAGTGATGGCAGTATACTGTGCATATATATATATATA